ATATATACAATTACAGATATGAGTTAGTGTTACAAAGTCGCTAAATATCAAACACTTTGTTATAGGTATCAGTAGTCGATAATATTATATCCACAGGTTAGTGTTGGAAAGTAAACGGCTTGCAATAATTTCCACAACTTCGTGGCGGGAGACGACAGAGAAATGAGAGTTTTATGTATCTAAGCAAAATGTAGCGCACTAATCGAAAAGCGCACGCGTTATGTTTTACGTATGCATATATATATTTATTCGTATAGGAACGATAATAACAAGATTGACAATGATGGAGAGTCCATCAATAACGTGCGACGATCTATTCTCATAAAGTCTCACAGTGTTACACTGGAATATTTACTGATGACGTTTCGAGCAAAGTGTAATGCTGATAATGATGCCAATGAATTCACACAACTTTTCAAACTTCGTTCATTTAATTCCATTCAAATTATGAAAACGAAGTTAGAATGTTGCATGAGTAACCTGATATGACTATGAGCAATAAAATGTTCTCGAAACGTTATGCGTAAATATTCCAGTATAACACTGGGAGACATTATCAAAACAAATGTTTACTCATGATGGAGTTATACACAACCACAGTGCACAAGTTCTATTCATATATCACAGCAGCGATCTATTATATCGATAATACCGGAATATCACACAGGTAAAGAAAGAAATGTTCAGGTGGAAGTAGTCCATGAAGTTGGAGAAAATTAAATACTTTCATTAAAGACGTCATTGTAGGTAAATGGCAGTATGGATGGATTTTGTATGTTCTCTGTCAACTCCCTTCGCGTGGTGTACAGTACCACGTTGTTGAGTCAGTTTTCTTGAAGAATGCTCTAAATAATTGCTACTTCAGAAGCAGTTGATTTGATAAGCGGACAAACTACACAAGAAGTAATAAATACACGAGTGTCCTGGACATTCCAATGACGCCTATATTGAAAGTAGTATGATTGTTCATCTCCTCTGCCGCCCATCGAACGTGCCATGTTTGAAAGAGTGTCCAAATCAACTTTCAATTTGACTGCTGTCACGATCCTAATCATAATAATATACGAGGTTGGCATCAGAACCAATTTTGACGAAGAATACCATGATTTATTTGCAATAGAGTGACGCAGTATACACTCGCGAATATCGGAGAGAAGAGGAAGAGTGGTTGGAAGGTGCGTTGAATGGTCAGTGTGGAAGTATGGTCTACGAGGTGAGAGTGGAATATGAAATATGGACGTGACACAATATCCAGTTGTAAAGTCGCCAAGTCAAGTCTTCACATAGTGAGAGATTCTTCGGGCTGCTACTTGAGAATTTAAAGCTGCTTGCAATCAGTGCAGAAGGGAACCGATGAGAGAGATAACCTTTGCCCAGTTGACATCCTATTCGTAGGAGATCTCGGTCAATGTGGTTCAGAAATGACGTGTGAGCAAAGACGTAACAATATTTTCGACTTGTCCATGGTCATTTTCGAGAGAGAGGTGCTACATGCTCATCAATTTTGCCAATGTCGTGTTGAGTTAAATTAGGGAGGACGCACGATCTAGTGCGGAAGTGGTGATTACGTATGTCGTCTGTCTACGACAACAACCTATAAAACAGCTATCTAGTTCCTTTACTCACCATCTAAGCGAGAATACACAACGAGGTGTGACGCAAAGTATTCCCACTAAAGGAAAGAATGGTAAATGATGGGAACAAAGAAACAAACAATACGTTCATGGGCCACTGATGTTGGTGTCGAAAACAATAAACCATTGATTGTCTGTCTAGTTATTCACGAGACAACCGACCACTTCATTAGACAGAGAAACTTCCGATCAGCATATCATATACCCCTAGCATTTGCTTATCTTCGACTATAACAGCCTCAAAACAACAGTATTTTCGTCCATCAGTACCTTCTGTATCCTGTGAAGACTGAATTCATTGTCCACTAGGTCGTTTCGTAAGTTACAGAAGATGTTCGAACCACAGAATCATCGTAGAATATACATGAATCAGAAGTGGTCTAGTCAATCAGCGTTCTTCGCTTACTACCTAGCGAATTTCCTCGAGTTTCAGGTACACGAATATTATCACACATACTGCGCGATCAAAGAGAAGAGGTGAACATCAGAAACAGTTGCATGGTGTAGAGAATCGAATGAGTATCCTTGAGAAGATGATCAGACGATGTCAGGCTGTCATTTCTGATCACTGATCAGCAAACATGGAACAATATGGCTTCCAGCTTTTATGCTTATGCAATTTGTGATCAGAGTGAAGAATGTCAGTCTCGTGGGGTGACATGCAATTGATGGGACAAAAGAATGCATGAATAGCATAAAGGAAGAGGATATTCTTGATATTAACCTGGAATGTGGAAATCGGTGAATGGTGCTGGTAAAAATGAAATGGTCGTGCGATGCGAAACATATGGCTAGATGGCGTGTAGGTTTGTCAAAGCATAGGAAGCACTTAATCAGCTGTGAGAATCGCTGTCCGAGACAGGCATATTTTCAAAGCACACACTGAATGCACAACTGTCGTTTGATGTCGTCGACCGCTGCGGATTTCGCCATACCGAGTGAATCTAATTGTGCCCGAATGTCTCTTTGAGAACATGTGTCAGAATACACCATACTGTTCAAAGTGAATCTAGGAATATTAGGAATGATAAGCGGAAGGTGGAAACGCTAATTCAGTGTGAAGATACAACTCACAACAAGATGCATTTCTTTTACACACCATAAATTGAAGTGAACGGCTAGGTTTATGCACACGCGTCAATGAAGTGGTAAGGAAACTGATTAAAACTTTCTAACAACAGGAGTTAGAGAAAACACCGTGCACCTGTGCCCCACACACACACAAACACACACATGCATACATACCCTTCAATCATACACAGAATTCAACGCGTGTGGTTTCAAAATCTTCCTGAATATTCTAAGGAAGAATTGAAAGAGTAGAGGGACAAGGCAGTGAGCAGTGTACAGTCTCCAGTGGCTCACTAGTACCTCAACACCACTGATACGTTCTCATCAGTGAAATTCGATCAATTCGAGATTATTATCAGGTCAGTGTGTCTTCACAAAACTGTACTGTTAGTTCTGGTCCCGAATCAACTTCAGAATACTGTTTTCTCCCTTCTTTAGCAAATTTATAATATCGTTCCGACTCACACAACCCACGCCCAACAAATAAATTTGTACACTTCAGTAGTGTCTATTAACCATATCATTCATCCAGGATTCCTTAGGCACACATGCAAGTGTCCAGGTGAACTGAATTGCGTTGCTTTCAATACGACATGTGTTTTGAATTTTGTGTGTCTATTCACCCTCGAGTACGAAGACTCTCTATTGAGTGGTGATTAGTTATTAAGCTCCGTGAATTAGGCGTTTGTGATAGTCGGTCTTTTGTGATGCATTTCTCAGTAGGAAATTCCATTGATGGAACACAGACATTCTCTTAGTCAGAAGGATCCTGTAGGGTTGATTATTCCGAGGTCAGTGTTTTCATATGGAATTCGTGTCATTCCTAATCCATGATGTGAATAAATCTCATTTTGAAAGCTTAGAGTAACAAAGCTATAGCAAGAGATAATCTATCCGAACATTTAACGAATAAAAGGAAGTCACACTGAATCAAGCCTACAGGTAGTCTGATCAATCGGCGGTGTACAACGTCATCCTGACGGATTGAAATTGCTTTGTCAGATAGTTTATTGGTCACAAGTCAAATCGTCACGAGCATGAAGACATTGTCGAATGAGTTCCTAATCATTCCCTGTCCATCTCGTCTATGTCCACTAAGTGACATATAATCATGCACGAATTATTATGGAAATGTTTCCATGTTGTTTTGTACCCTTTCAGAGTAAACGCAACCTGGTAAAATGTCTGGTTCATAGAGCTGGGTAATCTGTTCAAACGACTACCTCAATGAGGAGCGTAATATCATTAGACAATTATGTAGGAAATATGGGTATCTAGATAAGTTCTTTGAGAAAGTATGAATTCAGGATCTAGGAGAGTCAGTTTGGCAACAGGTTCACTCTTCATAAGATTGCAGTTCCTCGATGACACCATCAGTGGAATAATATGACATTGTCTGATTCATTCAGTGGAAATAGCTCATTATGCAGCAGAGGTAAGTTGTATTCACACTAACACACGTAATCCACTTTCGAGAAATAAGGATAAATTGCCTCCTCTGTGTGTACCTATGAGTTGGAAAGCAGCTGCGGAACCAGGTACATCGGGTGAGCAATTAAGGAGGTTCACCCAGGATGGTTAATCAACAGACAAACAAGAGATATTCCTAGCTCTGTTTAAGCGCAACTTGTAGACACTGAGCATATGTTTGACATTAATACGACATTTACAATTATGTTCTGCATTTCCACTAATCTTAATTCAGCTTTACAAGTTCGTCCTCTACAAACAGCTGGAACCATAGGAATCCACCTGAAGAAGTCAAACCTGTGTGTTCAGGAGACATTTGTACATCCACTTTCTTTAACTTGGCCATCACTACATGAATGTATAAACACGACTACTTCCCACTGCTCCACCTAAATATTTGTGCAAATTATTTTATTACTCTTCTGACTACTTCATCTTTATTTACAAGTTATCACTGTCAAAAAATCGTTTTATTTCCTTACCCAATCCGAAACGTAATCAAACTGATCACCAGCTGATTCCAGAATTAAATGTCAATCTGAACGCAGAATATTCTTTTCACTGATATCCCTTCAGGTTCTTACAATTAGGATATATAATATTTGTTGTCATTACAATAAACGCCAGGTATGCGGAGGATACATTTTTACGTATAACAACAGATCAGTCGAAACAGCGACGAGGAAGTAATAGGAAAGCAAATATTCTACGCAGAGTACTTCGTCGTAAAATGGGGCTGTCTAGCCACCACTGTCTCAAAATATTACAATATTTGTTTCAAACATTTGGCTATCTAGTCACGAATCAAACAATCAGTAGTTGAAAAGGCGAACGGCATTGAAGGACACTTCTACTACCCTGGTGACGAAAATAACACAAATTATTATGAAGAGTTGATATCTGGATGGAAGACGATATCACAACTCTGAGTATATTTCAGTGTAGAGAAACGAAAGTGAAAAAACATACTTCAGTGCAATGACAGGTAACAAAATGAGTGTGTGCTGAAATAAGTCGGAGAAATGTTAAAATATATAGGGGCATGAGTGTTTGTTATTGGATTATATCATCAGAATAGAGTTATGCATAAAATCAAAGAGAATGAATCTTCTCCACAGGTGTGAAACAGACTGATGTCTGTGAAAAGAATGTCAGAGCGTATTCTACATGCAATGTCAGTGAATGGAAGGCATTCACAGAGAGAAATCGAGGATATATGCAGAATTTAACGCTGGATAACTCGGCGACACCGGAATCAAGCCAAACTGACGAAATTCTCCAGATTGAATTGATTTGGTGTGTTTCTCAAGTTATTCATATGACTGTAGGCAATCTGTAGCACTCGAATTTCCTCTTCACTGAAACAATGTCTCCACTCATCTCTCAGTTGCTCACCAAGGTAACACAAGTGTGTTTTCACTATGCAAACATTGTTTCGCTTGCATTCTCGCACGAAATCAGCGGTATTCATATTTGCTGCATGTTGCATTGACGACAAATCGAATTCGAGATTGGCAGTTTCTGTAGAGAGAATCAGATAAATGCAGTGAATGTATTTGAGAGGAGGAAACAAATCTAATCTACCATGAAATGCATATCACACATACACACGCACACGCACACGCACACGCACAAATCATCGCCTGAACAAAGTACAAAGTACAATGGATTGGTTAACACGTATTCAGGGCGACATTAGAAAATCAGCCAGTGATGGCACATTTGCATAGATAGATGCATGTAGAGTGATGAAATCAATTCATCACGATATAAGTGAGCACCGTGTTCGTCGATATGGAAGAGGATTCATCACTAGCAAATGTCACTTTCACATGTCTGATTAGTTGTTAACGACGATAACTCGAAGAAGCTATCTTGCCTTTCTCTCAAACAATCACACCTAATTCGTATAAGGCAGTGAACAGATAGAGGAATCAACCAACATATAACACGTGTGTGAATCAGATTGGTATGGAATACATCGATAGAGGATTGATGGAAGACTGCAAGAATACACTGGAACTACGATGGATATACACGAGTGTAGAAGGTGGCCTAATTTCACTGCGTCTATTCACTGCGTACACTGATGTGAAAGTATGCTTGTCACATCTTCCGACGGTTATTTTATGTTCGTTGAAAGGAAGAGGGGCGCAAAATACTACTCTTCGACCTTTATCGTGTTCACCACCGATGTCGACACTCATAATAGACACGGTGTGTGATGCGTTCAAGTGAGTTGTGAGTGAATGTATTCAAACATACTTCGATATACATAAATCTGCGTATTTGTGGGTAGAGTGACGGTAAGATATTATGCACATACTGATTGATGACGACTGGACATCACTCACAACGCTAACATCCTGTAGGCTTGTTTCTCTTAGCTCAGCTGGCACAGCGTCCCCCTAATCAACCCGTCGCTGCAGATTCAATTCACTCACCTATTCACACTCTCTTCATCTTCATCTTCAATCATCACTCACTCTCACTCAACACTGGCATATTCAACAACTTCAAAATATCTCAGTGCATCAATTTTAATTCAGCAAAATACACATTCAACTCACCATTATGAATATCACTTTTAGTTCTATTCAGACATTCTACGAAGCGTCTTACGTTTTCACATTGCGAATTCGTTTCAGTGGATGTACATTCGTTGAAAAGACACAAGAGAACGGTCACCTGTGATAAAAAGAAATACAAACATCGAATGAAATATTCTTCAGGACAATGAGAGAACATACGCTGAAGCAGATGAATACACTTTTCAAAGAGGCGTTCATTTTCTCCGTTTCCCAGTATACACGACAATGTAAGTAAACTTCAGATGTTATACGCCAGTGAACAGTTTTCAGTTGGCGTATATATATATATATATCTGTGTATCGATGAGTACACAAAACAATGAGGTCAAAGCCATGTGTATGACAGTTGACACACTGAATTCTACTATTCCCTAATTAATCCGCGAATTCCTTGTGTAGTAATTATGTGAGTATTATTTGTCTTACAGATAAAAATTGTGCTTTCTCCTTCTAGCTAATTAGGTATCAGCTAAATTTTCAGGGTAACTAATAAAAATACTCATTGATTAGTAAGACTGAATATTTAGCTGATACCTAATTAGCTAGAAGGAGAAAGCACAATTTTTATCTGTAACACAAATAATACTCATATAATTACTACACAACGAATTCGCGGATTAATTAGGAGTAAGCCGAATTCAGTATATCAGCAGATATCAACGTGGATTTGACCTGATTGTTTTGTGTACTCACTGATAAACAGATGTATGTATATATACATATATACATATATAAATATATATGTCAACAGAATATTGTTAGCCGGAGTATAACATTTGAAGTATATTCGCATTTTTGTGTGTATTAGTAAAATGAGATAATGAAGGCATCTTTGAAAAGTGTATTCATCTGTTTGAGGGTATCTACTACTAGAAATAGATTCAGTAGTAATACGACTATCATTATTATCATTGATATTATTAGTATCATTACTTCAGTGGAGCGAGATACATAGGAGGTTGGATATGTGTCTCACAAGGAGAAGTATATTAACACGAACTCGCCTGGCTACAAATACGCCAGAATGTGTCAATATAGCTTGTATTATTCTATTAGAATCGTGATAATCTGAGCTCGATGGCTACGATGAGTGGTTTCACAGTTATCTATAAAGTCAGTGGATGGTTATCTGTAGCCTGATGTATCGCTGTTAGTCGCGTTGATGAATCCATGATTATTCATATGGATAACCCTAATTTGTATTCGGAATAAACTTATTCACCAAACTGTTACAATCAACTCAACAAATAAAATTTACCCAACAGTCTCCTGAGACTTTTCACAACCACCACTTCCTATCACCATATCTGAAATTCGAAATATTGGAGAATATTCGTAGGTTATGGAGGTGACTCCAATAGTCTTACTTTGTCTGAAATCGTTTGTGCGGTGATGGTGCGGATTTCACTGACCTACAAAACAGGGTCTCGGTGTTCTGTTCTCATCTTTGGTAAAACCAACACAGAATCGGTGAGTGATTCCTTAGCATTCAGTTTTCATGACTGACTTCATGCAGCTGAACATTGAGAAGAATGTTCCTTGTTGTCTTGTGCTAACTTCTATGATGGTATTTCATAGATAACAGGACTCTTTCGATCAAGTGGCATGTTAAGCTTGCTTGAGAAGTGCTGTCGTTTTCCACTGATCGGTTGACATAGGTAGCCGGATGACACTGACAGAAAGCTGCAGCTCTTCCTAGCCACATCAAAATGACTCAACCACCGAACAACCACCTCGCTTGTTTGATGATGTAATTCGCAATTGTCTGCGTGGTTCACTTCAGCTCACCTCGGAGAACCTCATCAACTACGACCACCTCAATTCTCGCTAGCTATTCCAGCCAGCCAGCCAGCCAACCAGTGACCATTATCATCAAATGACTATCACTGTTGTTTATTCATGGCATAGTTATGTTTTTGAGGACCACACACCGTTGTCTAGCTGGGATATCACATCAGGTGCTTTCAGTGAGTGTAGATTTCATGGACTACCACAAGCTAGCGAAGCCTCTGTTCCATCACGTCCAGTTGTCGACTTCACTAATTCTCCAACCCGTAACCTTTCTATCTGTATTTCACGACTGGTGAAACCTTATGAAATGAAGGTGGAATATGGATTTGAGAACTTGTACGACTTCAAGAAGATCATCACCTCAGCCTGGGTTCGAGAACACGAAGTGATAGAAACTTTCTGTACTGACGAGTGTTTCAACTGAACATTTTTAAAGTATGATCTCTGACTCACTAATTTCGGATAGTGAACCGAGTGTTCCATAGCCTTTGGATACAGATGAAATTTAGAGGGCATTAGAACTGTGTCCACACTCCACATTGCTTATATGTGGGAGAGTTGTTGTCCGTCACACAATAGGTATTCTTATGGCATATTCAGAATCTCCTTCACCAGCCAGTCTGTTATCGCAGACTCATTAGAAGCAAATGAGACCATCATCTGAGGTGGCCAACTTCAGCGTTTGACTTCCTGATATTCCATATCGACTCATAATTATATTTCTTCCGATATATCGTGTCTTCTTTCTATGTGTATATCAAAGTATGAGGTGGAGTCGCATGGTTGTCTCCCGTGAATTCGTAAAATGTTTTTTAGGACCGAGTGACTTCCACGTTATCCACAAAACTAAGGAAAATCACCATGGTGTGTGGCGATGTGGACTAAATTGCACTAAATTGCTTTCGAAATTCAAGCAAATCCACTCCATTTTGCTTGTGCGATACAGATCTTTCGAGTGTCTCGTCTTACAAAAATGGAATTTTTCTTCATCTTCGTGCTCTCTGGTTACACAAGTTTCAACTTGATCTTGGAGTTTTGTAGGCTCATATACCCAACGCAATGTCCAGGTTACGATTTGGAGACTGTCGTTTTCGATTTATTAACGTGTTTTTTGAAGTGACACGAATTGATCCGGTGATGTAATTATGGTAAAGACAAACATTTCGACGAAACCACGACTTGCAATATCTTATCCTGTTTCAGACATTTTCACTTTATTTTGTACAAACGAAATATTGATTACTATGTATAGACCTGAAATTTAGTGAGGTCATGGTGATCACCAAAAATACGTCGGGGGAGAAGTTCACCACTTTTACCTCTACTGTTGATAACAAAATATTTGATGTCTTGGTTGAAAAGTGACTGTTAACAATACAACGCAATACGAGATTCATAATAATGAAGGAAAGATAATAAAATAGGACTACAAATAAAAGCGTCACACATACCCATTCAGCCAGAGGAACCAGTGAGATTCTATCATCGATTGATTAAGCTTTGAACTTCGAAGCATACAATTTACAATAAGTATACTTGTAAATTACACAAGCAGTACTACAGCAGACATCTTCCATTCAAATAAAATCTGAAACATGACTATAATAAAACTCTTTGAATAATTAGGAAAGCAATGTGGGAACAGCCTTCAAAACTCATGAATTACCTCCCACATAAATTGTCGTCTGGTCTTCTGGACAACCAACTGACTGATAAGTGTTAAGTTAATTTTAAGTAATTAAACCGTAGTTTGAATTCACTGAATCTTGTATTGCAGGCAGTTCACCCAGGGGACATGGATGTGACACAAGGAATTATTTTGACGTTTGACAGATCCCATTTTCAAATGGTTCATGGTAAATTGAAAAGAAAGGAAGAAGACTTGAGGTCTTTTGATGAAAAAAGAGATTTATTAGCGACTTAACTTTCCTGAAGGTGGAAGACCTGCATTAATTATGCTTCATATCGATGGGATATTTGAGAAATTTCAGACTTAGGAGATATACCATGTCTAAATGGTTGACTACAGGGAGTATCTATACTGCTTTTTCAACTCTATTCTGTGTTCATCGTGATTATTTCGGTTTTTACGTAGAAATACATGCCTAAGGTAATCGCCACCGTCCATATTGTTCAACTTAATGTGACTGACTAAAGCAAGACTCAGGTAGCGTCAACATACATTTCACAGTGTCCATTGATACGTCTATGGAACTCATACTTCTTATTATATTATTCAAAATACTTTGCATTTTGATGTCAAGATGACAGAATTGGTTTAAATATAGCAAAAATATTCATTCAGATATCTATAAAACACAAAATAATCGAGCAAAGAATATTCTTTTCGATAAATTCCTCCTCTTCTGGCTCTACAATTATATGCATATGTTTATATACACAGAATATTCACAGTTGGTAGTTAATAACAATATTAGTGTTTTTTAAATAAAACCGATTTGTAAAGTATGATCACGATGGAATTTATAGTTCACTAAAAATACTTAAATTATAATAGTAGTAAAGATATAATAGCAAATATAATATCAACTAAAATTAGGAAATTTCCACTAAAATTGAGAATCATTCAAACCTAAATGGCCAAGGTAGGGACAGCGCCTGAACTAACTTCTTTTGGACACATAAATTAGGTTTTTTAATGTGGATCCCAACAGCCTCAGCAATATTTATTAATCGAACTCCCAAGGCGAAGTTGAGATTTGTTGGTATCCGGTAAATAACTCTAAAAGCCTGGTCAACATCAATCTTATGTTCTGTATCTACAAGATGATATAGAATAGCGCTATGTGAATAGATTTTGTTTGTCCTTTACTTGATTTAACCAATCAGGATGATGTTCGGGAATCCGACAAGAAACACGCCTAATTGTACGGCCTATGCAACTGGCTCCACAGGAGCAGTTAAATTGGTAGATACACATGGATGAGGCGAAATTAGGCAGTTTGTCTTTTACTCCCGAACGCAGAAAAGGAGTGGTCTTAAAGATACAACGTAATTCAGCAGCAGGGAATGCTCGTTTTACCGCATTTCTAATACGCTGTGTTAGTATTTCACTAGTGTTGTCCCCAAGGAACTGCATCTGAAAGAATAAGGCCTTTTTCGGAACTGTTGATAACTTCGGCTGCTTTGGTTTCAAATTCATATTCTTATCAATAAACTTTTCAGGATAACCATTCTCACTTAGCAACCGTTTAATATTATTCAGTTCTTCATCAAGACATTCGTCCGAGCAAATCGCTCTTGCTCTGTGAACCAGGCACTTTATCAAATTGCGTTTGTATTTCAAGGGCACAAAACTGAGAAAATGTGTGTACTGGCCCGTTGATGTAGGTTTTCTATAAACACTTCTTCTTACTGAGCCATCCTCTTTTCTGGTCATAAAAACGTCTAAAAATGGAATACTAGATTCTTTTTCTGTCTCGATGGTAA